AGTCACCCTGCCCCAACAGCAGTTGAGACTTGGCAGAGCCCTTGGGCTCTGCAAGGGGCAGACCTGGCTGTCCCATCCCCAGGAAGGGAGCTCAAGCATCTTTCTAAGGCCATTGAAACCAGCAGTGGTGGTGGGACTTCCCTGAAGGCTCACATGGAGCCACGTTCTCTGGTGCTGCTGGTTTACTTATTTATTTTGTACTGACCACTACTTATTGGGGCTGGGGCTTTTCTTGCTGTGTATATTGGGGGGGGAGGGAGGGAGGGAGGAAGGGAAGAAGGGAAGGTCTCTTTCTTCAGCCCACTGCAATATTAAGCTGTTGAAGATCCACCTTTCTCAGCTTCAAGTGTGCAAGACCCTTACTCACTACCTGGGGAGCTCTTGGGGTTGTTTTTAGGATGATGTTGTTTTGATTTGTCAATAAAAGTTGGTTTAAGCTCTTCTAGAAGAGCTGTTGTCTGCCACTGCCCTCTGTTACCCAGCCACACATGCCCTGGGGGTTCACCCCCAGCCCCGAGCACAGATTGGACCCCCCAGGGCGGAGACTCATTGCCATACCAAATGCCACCATAGATTCCAGAATAGTTTATGTGGTCAGGGTCCTCTGCAGATCTTCTAGTCCAACCCCCCTGCTTGAAGCTTGGCCAGCTGGAGCAGCTTGCTCATGGTCATGTCCAGTCAAGTTTGTATTCTCTACAAGAATGGAGACTCCACAGACTCTCTGGGGAACTCATTCCAGTGTTTAATCACCCTCATAGTAAAGAAGTTTTTTTCTTATCTTTAAGTGACATTTCCTGTACTTCAGTTTGTGCCAATTGCCACTTCTCCTGTCATTCAGCATCACTGAGAGGAGTCTTGCTCTCTCTTCTTAACTCCCCCCCCATCACACACTAAGATGATCCCCCTGAGCCTTCTCCTCTCCAGGCTAAACAGTCCCAGCTTTCTCAGGCTCTCCTTGTCTGACAGATGCTCCGCTCCCTTAACCATCTTCATGGCCCTTTGCTGGATTCACTACAGCAGCTCCGTGTCTCTCTTGTACTGGGGAGTCCAGAACTGGACACAGTACTCCAGGTGTGTCCTCAGCAGTGCTGTGTGGAGGGGAAGGATCACCTCCCTCGACCTGCTGGTAAAGCTCTTCCTAATGCAGCTCATGATGCTGTTGGCCTTTTCAGTCGATTGGCCCCAGCCTGTATTGGTGCATGGAGTTGTTCCTGTCCGGCTGCAGAACTTGGCATTTCCTTCTGCCCCACCCTGGGCTTGGAGTTTGTGCAATGCTGAGGGAGCTCCTCTAGTCCTGGCTGCAAGGCCGAGGACTGGAGGGGACTGAGGAGCAGGATCCCTGATCTGCTTTGCTGGAGGGGGCCTTCAGCCTCATTGAAAGAGCACAGAGAAACACTGGCTGGAGTGATCTGGTGATGGGGGAAGAGATGGTTTCACACAGGACTCCTCCACAGCCCTCTGAGGTGCTGGGCAATTGGCATGGGCCAGCTATACTGCTTGGCAGTGCTCAGGGCTTGGTGATCAGGGGAGCCAGGAGGCAGGGCCAAGACAGTCACATGATTCTTTCTCTCCAGAACATGTGCCAAGGTCTGGCTGAAATTTACCTAGTCACATGAGTCTTTAGTGTTACTTGAAGGCTGTGATAGGAGGTGGGCTAGTGGATCCTGCACTGGCCATTTGAGTATCTAGTGACAAAGGAAAAGTGTCAGCAGCTTGTAAATGGTGCTTAGTCTTGAGTAGATATTTTCTTTAACGTCAGAGCAGCAGTCCCTGCCAGCATTTTCTCCTTTCTTGTTTCTTCTACCCAAACCTTTCACAGTCTCTCTCCTCATAACCCTACAGTGATCCACATTCAATGACTGGTTTCAGATACACCCTTCTTCTCCTTATGGGCCCCTCAAAAATGCAAGATGCCTTTTTACTTTCTCTCACTGCTCAGTTTCTACAACTGCCTGCTATCATCAGCATGGTACAAACACAAACGTTAATCTCACCTTCCTATTCTACACATCATGCGTTTTGCCCCACTTTCCTTAGAAGCCTAAAGATCACCAAGTCCTAGTTTCTCTATGTGAGTGACTGTCTGTTTGGCATGCTCTGTCTTGAGGACCTGCTGGCCATTTCACACGAAGGATTGTTTGAGATCTCAAGGAGAAATGCGTTCTTACAAATCTCATGGAAAAAACTGGCAGCTAGAAGAAAAAGGATGTTATCAGTGGCCTTGCTGAAGCAAACTACCAGGCATCAGAGAAGTGCAGTGAGGGGGACACTCCAAATAGATGGTGACCTCCAGTGCCCCTTCCCATGTGTTCTCAAAAACAAGCAGCAAAAGCTTTTTGCTCCCAGTTTGTTAAGCATGGAGCAAAACAATCAGAAAATGAGCTGCAATTCTGCACTTGCCTTTCTGTTTCTCCTCTTCCAAGGAAGAGGTGTTTGCTCTGAGCAGAAATGAAGTGAGGCACAGAGCAGACCCAGTCTGGTGGAGCGCAGCACTTTGTTGTGGTAGCCCTGTTTGCCAAGAAACCCTGTGGTGGCCTGAGGTCAATGCCTATCCCTGCTAGTGGAGTGTGGATGGAGTGGAGCTGGGTGGACTTCCATTCCCAAAGCCAGTAAGAGCTCATTCCTCTTTGAGATCTGTGAGTTACCCATGTTTTATAGGCGCTTTGGTGCTTTCCCATGGCACTCGACTTTTGCCCTGGCTCTAATATTTGCTTGACTCAGGTGTCACTGGTGTAGTTGGAGACCTGGGCTGAACTTCCTGAGCAGAACTGGTTCTGCTCATTAGAAATAAAGCACCACATAAGTTTGGATTATTGGGAGGGAGGAGAAAATTTCAGCAGATGTCCTAGGGAAACAGTAATCTCTCAATTAAAAAGGCTCCCCCCAGGCATCACTGTCCCTGTCAGCTCGAGAGATGGTCTTTCATGCAGTAGTTTCTTCTCCATTCCTCCCCTGCAGTTTCAACATCTCTCATTCCTGATTTCTCAGGAGGATGGGTAGGTCTACAGACCATTCTCCAGAAGGTTTTACACCCCTGACTCAGGACTCCCTCACCTCTAACTGTGCCTGCAGCTTCTCCCTGACGCTGCACTCAGCCCTTAGTCCCAGGGGCACCAGGAAAGGGCCACCGCTCCTTGCCACAGTGACCAGACCAAATCACAGGGGTTTGCTGTGAAAGGCAAAGCAGACTCTGTCTCCATGGGAAGTGTTATTGCCATGGGAGAGCTCTGGAGCCAGACATCAGGCCTGGTCGGGCTCCCTTTCCCATCTTGGGGGGCTCTCTGCACACTGCTGCAGCACAGGGGCAGGGCCCTCCTCACCCTGCGGTGTCCCAGCCCTCCCCGAAGCATCAGAGCTCAGCCCCTTGCAGGGTCACTGACCACACAGCCTCTCACAGTCACAGACTCACAGAAAGGCTGAGGTTGGCAGGGACCTCAGGAGATCATCTAGTCTCTCCTACCAGTCCTACCTGCTCACACCCTGCCTTCTGCCTGCCATCGCCAGCCAGTGATCA